GAGAGAGAGAGAGAGAGAGAGAGAGAGAGAGAGAGAGAGAGAGAGAGAGTGTGTGTGTGTGTGTGTGTGTGTGTGTGTGTGAGTGTGCGCGAGCGCGCTCGGGGACAAGAGCTATGAGATATTTTTAGTCTTATTATGAAATACATTACAGAATCCTTCACCACGAAATACAAAGATATTTTCCAGATTCGGAGGTAATCTCTCTTAAGCACATCTTCACAGTTAAGCGTCCAGAAAATAAACTCCATTTTTTGTTTAAATTAATTACTTAGAATGTAAGCAAACGTTCATTCTGGAGTTCAAACTACTTCCTTCTTTTTGCACCCAAGAAAACTAAGTCAAACAGTCCAATTAAGGACCCCTCCCCCACAACACAAATCTGGCTTTGCTTTTATGAATGGCAGAGCCAGCAGCAGCAGCAGGTAGAGCCTGTAACTGGATCCCTAGCGTAGGGCCCCATTCACAAAACAAGACACACTTCCACCAAATTCCCAGCTTTCCCCATTCAAGAAAACTCCTTCCGAAGTGCCCCCGCCCCCACCTCCAATTCACTAACTGCCTTAAGGCACAGCCCCTCCCCCTCCCCGTTTGAGGCAGAAAGCTCAAAGCTATACACACACATACACACACTCACAAGGGGGGGGAGGGCGGTGTATGGCGAGCTGGAAAAAGAAACCCGCTTCATTCATAAAGTCACCCACATTCATAAAAACTTGCAGCCGCAACCGCGGCCAATCTTCTCCCACGTTCACCTTAACGGTGCGGGGTGCTGGCCCCGCTGCATCCCTAGAAAAGTATCATCTCTCCCCGCGGCACCTCCTTCCAAATCTAATTTCAGCCCTAAACTCTCCCAGAAAATGGGGCCCGATAATCAGGCCCCCAAACTCAGCTCCCTAGCCATGGCTTTGAATCTATGCAACTCCTTTCTCCCGACCCCAGAACCTCTCCTTCGATTTCCTAAGGACCCTCTAGCTCGGCGATCACCCCAGTCTGCCCCCCGCCCTCAAACCTGTGCACCCCTAGATCATACTTCAATCTCAGCCCCTTCAGGCTCCCAGGGACTTTCCCTTAAGCCATGTCTGAAGGACCCCAACCTTTCCCAGTGCTCACCACCTCAGAAGCCACTGGGCACCCCATCTAATTTCATGCTCCCCCCAACATCGCCAAGGCAGCCCAGGAGCAGCCAAACTCAACCCCCGGTCCTCTAGTAATCCCCCACTACTGCCTGAAAGACCCTCAAACCCTTCTCAATCACTCCAAGAACCCCCCCAACTCCCCTAATGTCCCCCAAATTCCCATCAGGTCTCTCAGAGAGCCCTCAAGCTCCTTTCAGATCCACTCTGGGAACCCCTAACGTCCCGAGTCCCCTGAGGTGGCCCAAAGACTCTTCTCGGGCCCCTCTCAAAAAGCCCCCAAACTGGCTCCCTGAGCGCCCCTCAAATCCCCGAGGGCCCCAGGAGCCCCCAAATTACCACTTACCCCTTCCAAAGGCCCCCACCTCTCCCTGGCCCCCCGACGCACCCCCGCACGGAAGCCCCGACCCCCCCCCCCTATGCTCTCCCCCCCCCCACCTCACCTGCCCCCCCAGCCGCGCCGCGCGCCGTGTCTGTGTCCGTGTCCATGTCCGTGTCCGTGTCCGTGACCGGCAGACGCAGACCCGTTACGGCCCCCCGGCCCCGTTAGACCCCGCCCTCTCCGGAGGCGCGGCCCCGCCCCCGCCCGCACCTGGGCGCGTGCCCGGGCCTCACCTGCGCGCGCTCCCGCCGCCGCCGCTTGCGCGCGCTCCCGCTTGACAGGAGCGCTCCGGGCAGGGGCTCCGACCGGCTGGCTGCCCGCCTCCCTCGCCCTGGCCCCTGGCCCCGGCCCGGCCCGGCCCGGCGCTGTCCCGAAGCCCGCCTGCCCGCCCGCGCCTCCCCGCCGCCGCTCTCGGGCCGCCTCGCCGCCTAGCTCCCTCGGGCGCCGCAGCCGCCAGCCCAGCGAGAGCAGCAGCCGCCCCCGAACTGGCTGGGCCTCCGCAGCCCCCCGCCGAGCCCAGCCCAGCCCCCCCCTCCTCCCGCCTCTCCGCCTCTCCCATTGGCCCGCATCCCCTCCCGCGCCTGTCCGTCAAGGCTTGTTTACCCCTTCTGTGGGCCAATGGCGCGGGGCCGACCCGCCAGCCCCGCTGGGGATTGGGCCGACCGCGTGTTCCGACCCGCCTCCTCGGCGGGGGAGAGGGGTCGTTTTACATAATTTATGCACCGAGGGCCCGGACCAATCAGCGCGCTCTGGTTTACATAATGTGGTTCGGACGTTTTTCATTCATAAAAAAACGCGACCTGAGGGAGAAGCTTCGCTGAGTCAGTGAAGCCTTTAAAGGGGCCGACAGAAGGAAAAGAAGACTGGGGATGAATCTAACGCAGGTTAGCATAGGGCAGGTTAGAGACCTGGATGAAAGCTGAACTAGGCCAGAAGATGCAAACCTGGAAGGGAGCTTAGAAATTAGTCCCCTTCGTTTTTACCGATGGGGAAACTGAGGCTCTGAACGGTGAAATGACTTGTCCTAGGTCTCACAGAAAGGCGACCGGAAAAACGGACACTTGAACCCAAGTCTATAATCAATTAATCAACCAGTCAACGAGCATTTCTTTTCCAAGTGTTTCCCCCCATTCCTGTTCTCCCAAGACCCCATCGCCCTTCTCAAGAGACCCTCCTTGTCTCTGTTTGTTGAGAGATGGAGGGGCCTCCTTTTATTTTCCTCTCCTCCCCCCACCCTAGAGTGGGGGAGGGGTGAGGGGGGAAGGGTGGGGACAGGCTGGGGCTGCTCCCTGCTTGCTTTGCAGCCTGGCTTTCATTCACAGCTGCAGCAAACGGTGCAAAGTTATCTCCTCAGAATGGAAGAAAGAATGGAAGAATTCGTCATTCTAGCCAAAAAAGAAACTCGCTGACCGACCTGGGCATGTGGCCCACTGAGAAATACACAGTGGGAACCGATTCACTTATTGTTAATGGCTTTTAAGCAGACCCTCATGGATTAACCTGGACATGGAGCAGGGAAGGAGGAGATTCTCAAAAATCCTCATTGTGTGTCTCACTTTAATTAAAACGTGAGTTCACAGCTAGGTTTAAGGTCCTATTTTTTCCCCCATAAATTTAGGCAGAGCTGAAAGTCAGGGTAGAGTAGGTGAGCAAGGCTCCCAAAGCCCTTCTTCCTCTGTTTCTGTCACCGTTTATCTGACACAAGCAAACGAAGTGGAAAGGACCCTGAAACCTGAGGCCAAGGGCCGGCAATTCAGGGACCTCAGAAGTCTTAATACCCTCATTTTACAAACGGCCTCCAAAGAGGGAAAGCGAACCTGGGTTTAAATGCCAATCTGCTGCTTACCTTCAGTGTGACCTTGGCCCAGTCACTTCCTATCGAGTTCCTTAGTTTCCTCCTTTACAAAAAAAAAGAATAAGCAGGAGGCGGGGCAGGCAGCGGGGGTTGACTACGTGATCCAGAGGTCTCTTTGCAGCTCAGAGGGTTTACTCTGATCCTGAAATCTTTGCTGAAGTCACACCATAAAGTCAACCAACCATGAATCCCTTGGAAACCAGGCTCGGTAGTTAGCGTTCTAGCCTCGCTGGGCTGTTTGTTTTCAATTTAAGGAGTGTGAGATGCTGCATTTTGGAATTCAGTCCTGTACAGCTGGGGAAGGATGGAGGGCTACTGGGGTCTGCCAAACAAATAGGCATTAACTGCAGTTGCTGAGATTCTTAACAGTGTTCCTTCAAACAAGTAAACAAATCAGCCTTTTCCCCTCCCCCAGGTCCCTCCCCAATGTTGGGAGCCCACACAATGGTGCAGAGTAAGGCTGTGTGGTACTCTTCCGGCAGGACGAGCCAACCGCCAGGGATGTATGCTGGGGAGCGTGCTGTCTGAGTTCTTCTCCCGGTGTGACTTGGCACGCCTCCCTGACTAGCAACCCAGGAGATAAAGCTAGCTAGCACCCTTGGGAGAGGGAAAGGTGAGATGGGGAAGCAAACAGAAGAGATTCCCAGCGCTCACCCGGGACACTGAGAACTCCAGATGGCTTTTCTTTTTTGCTCTTTGGGCACAGGCTATCCCCCCCCATGTCCAGGAATGTACTGTCCCCTCATTCCTGCCTCTTAGAATCCCTAGGTAAGCTCAAATGTCACCTCCTACATGAGCTTTTGTCCTGATTCCCCCGCCCCAGTGGCTAGTCTTTGCCCACCTCTGCCCCCAAATTACTTTGGACTTTGCTTTGTATATATGATGTATATAGGGTCATGGATCATAGACCTGAAATTAGAAGGTTCAGAAGCAATCTAAGCCAACCCCCCCCCATAATACAAATGAAGAAACTGAGGCCCAAGGGGTTAAAGTGACTTGTCCAAGGTCACACAAGTAGTAAACATCAGAGGAGGGTTTAGGGGACTTCAGAGACAGTGTGTTTCCCTTTGTGTATGTGATAAAATGTAAGCTTCATGAAGACAACTGTTTTGTTTTATGTGTTTGTATTCTCAGCTCATTCTGAGTTTGGTTTCTTGGAGGCAGCTAGGTGTAGCAGTAGAATACCTGAGTTCAAATCCAGCCTCAGAAACTTCCTTAGCTATGTGACCTTGAGCAAGTCACTTAACCTCTGTTTGTCACTGGAGAAGGAAATGGCAAACCACTCCAAGAAAATCCCATGGACAGAGGTCCACCGGGTCATGAAGAATTAGACATGGCTGGGACAGCAGACCGACAAAAACAGAAATTCTCAGCGCACTGCCTGAGATGGTGCCTGGAGTGGAGGAGATGCTTAGTACCTTGCACTAAGTGGCTAGAGGTTATACATAGAGCCAAGAAGATTTGAGTTTCAGTCGTGCCTCAGAGACTTACTAGCTGCATGACCCTGGGCAAGTCACGTAACCTCTGGAGATAATGACAGCATCTACCTCCCAGGCCGTGTGTGTGTGTGTGTGTGTGTGTGTGTGTGTGTGTGTGTGTGTGTGTAACATGAGATCATTTCTGTAAAATATTTTATAAACCTTAAATCACTATGTAAATGCTAGCTATAATTTTATATGTAATTATTAATATAATAATTATTGTTGTTCATAGTAAATACTTGATTCTCCTTAAAAAAAAAGTCCAGTCCTATTCACTCTGGTACCCACTGCTTTATTTCTTAAGTGTGTTACCTTCCATCCAATTTAAGACACTCCAGGAGCAGTAAACAAACAAAAAATTCCCACCAAAAGCTGCACCCAGTGTAACAGGCCTCTCACATTACATGGGCTGTGTAGGAGCCAGAATCATCAACCAGTATTCACAAATACAGGCAGGATCTTGTTAATGGTAGGGAGGGACTAGTTGGGACCATGGGGCCTTGTGTGAATTCGGGAAATTCTAGGGAGTTGCCTAAGCAGCACACAGAGATTGAATGATTTGCCCAGTGTGTGAGAGGTAGAATTCAAACCCAGCACTCCAGGTCCAACAGAAACAAAGTAAAAGTTGCCCCTATTTTATGTCTCTAGACAGCATCTTTTCCCCACAGTTCTCAGTCTCCCAGCTCACAAGAGCCCATCAAATCTGTAGATGCGACGACTTTGGTCATGTCCCCCACCCCACCCTACCCCACCAAATGTCTTAGTGTCTGGAGTCCTAGCCATTTGTCCAGTGTCTAGTCCTGCTATACAGTGACAAAATCTTGCCATGTCCTGGTAGGGGAAGTCACCCTGACTTCTCTAAAGCCTCAGTTTCCCCCAATGTCAAATGAAGCAGCTGCACAGGACCTCTAAAGTACTGCCTAATCCTGATATTCTCTGTTTTCAAGTCCCTTCTCATTCTGACATTCTACATTCCCGGTACCTCCCAACTCTGACAGTCTGTGTTCTCTCTCTTCTGGGCCAATGTTCTAAGTTCTGAGGGCTCTATAAATTCTTTTTTTTTTTAATGAAATAAATTCTTTCTACATTCTAAGGCTCCTTTCTAACTCTAACATTCTATGCCCTAACCATCTCCCTAGTAGACCAGAAACATTCCTTTTTTTTGTTTCCATATGACAAGGATAATAGCACAGTGTAAAAGGTGTCCATCAGATACCCCTTGCTCTCAACATAGACTTATTAACCTCGTTTTCTGGTCATTGCGGGGAGGTATCTGTTCAGAACAGTGATTTCAGCAGGCAGCTCCCAGTGAGGAAACTCCGTCCACCAATAACCCTTCTGACTTATGACAGTTTTATGGCCCTTCTTGTGAGCACTGAGAGCTGGAAGGGACCTTGAGATTATTTAGCCCAATCCTCTTATTTTATAGATGAGGAAATCCAGACCCAGAGGTTAAGTGACTAGCCAAAGGTCATACTGGTCAATCAGGTCCACTGACATTAAATCTAATGTTAATGGGATCATAATGTCTTGGGATCAAAGACCTAGATCTATAAGGAAACTGAGGCTGTTATCTATTCCAACCCTTTCATTGTACAGATGAGGAAGTTGAGGCCCAGTGAGGTACCTGTACCATGCTGTGTCTTCCAAATGGGCAAATCCTCACTGTTCAGCTCCTCCTTAGTGATTCCTGCCCTTTCTCACCAAATGCCTCCCGGTGACTCTTCCCCACCCCCAACAAATGCCTTTACTTCCAGAAGATGGAGATTTCCTTTTTTTAGAATTTCCTTGTAGGGCACACATTAAGCCTGTGCTCCGAAGGATATTATATAAACAAGAGATTTCTTTTGCTTAAAAAAAAATGTGTATCACCTACTAAGAGGCTTGGAAGAGGAAACAGTGAGCTCTATGTGGGACGCCATGTTCTAGCAAAGCTATAAATGTAATTTCTCTTATGTATAAGATCAGTATCGTG